TGGAAGGAGATTATATATGGAGTGGAAATTATACGGAGTAATATATTTGAAAATGATTGCGTCAGAGGAAATGCATGTTCGAATATATTCGTGCGAGCCTCGTGTGAACCTTGCAATACTATTTATGTAAGATTCATAAATATCACGTAGTATTTAAAACTGAAAGAATAAGCTAGCGGAAAATTTAGAATAGATGTGCATGTGCAAGACTGTGCATGATTTGTGCCCGTTCTTCCAAATTAAGTAATGTCTCATCCAGACAAATAGAATTATGATCTTCGCAAATATTTACAGTTACAAATATTTTGTTCAAGGTTTCTAACTATATTATGATTTAGCAAAATATTATAATGTTGAACTAATTTTATGTTTATATTCTGTGATAGTGTATTTTGACCATTGAACTCCATTTCAATTGAATAAATTTTCCAGTATTGCTTATTGGCTGCCACGTTTGGATTTGGAATTTGGATAAATTGAAGCAAAATTTAGATGGTTGCTGAAGATCATTGCTTGTGCTATGTTGAGTGGGGTGAATTAGGAGAACCACAAACTTCAGAGTCATTGATGATGCAATGAGATTTTAAACACGCAATGTATAGCCTTGGAGGAATCATAGGCTTGAGAAGACTAACATCTTCTATCTTTGTTTCAGTTTTTGCGTGCCACGTTGTCAAAGCCCCAAATTGGTATTTCTTCTATATTTGTTTCAGTTTTTGCATGCCGTGATATCACAACCTAAGAGCATCTCTAATGGTAAAAATGTGCACGGTGCACACGTGGAATGAAAAATAGCCACATAAATATTAGTAAATAAATTCTTTCCCATAAATTGTTTCCCTTAAAAACCGTTTGGGCGACTTATATGGCGACTTACCCATAAATTAAAATACCGGGTTAAACTTAAAAAAAAAAAGGGCAAAATTGTCTTTTGAAACCCGTTGAATTTTACGACTATCGTGTCCGCAGGTCGCCCGCACAGGGGGGGTGCGAATTTTCGATTCTGAACTGAAAGCCGGAATTCTTGTGTGCGCGAGAGCTCCCCTATTCTCCTTCACCTTTTAATTCTAAGAGAGGAGTGGTTCATATTTATATGTTTCAAACTTCTCAAGGAGTTTAGGTGTGGGAAAGTTAAAGAAGCTCACTTTCCACCAAAGATGGAAAAGTGTACACTTTTTCATCTTTCTTTTTCAAGAGCAAATTTGAGCCACTTCAAACTTCAAAGTCCAAAACTCCAACACCAAAGGTCAACACTACAATCAAAGCTTCCAAGAGTCAACATTGAGATTTAAAAAAAAAAATCAAGGTAGATGGTACCTTGATTTTGGACCTTGAAATGTAGCTTGGTTGTTTCCTATCAAGGTCCAAGATAGTATTGTTACATTACGATCATGGAATGCAAACCACAGGAGTATAAATAGATTAAGGAACCACAACTACACTCTTATTCAGGGCTAAGAGGGCGGGCAACTTGTAAGAAAGTGCATGGAAATACGAAGTATAAAAGCAGCAACCGTGAAATTTTAACACAAAACTGCCCCCATTTTGGTGCTGATCAAACATAAGAAGGTTTCTGCAAATCATTTGAGATGCAACGATGAACTACTATTGTGATGGTACCTTGATTTTGGACCTTGAAATGTAGCTTGGTTGTTTCCTATCAAATTCCAAAAATCAACATGAAAGGAAGTAGATGATAGGAAACAATACTATCTTGGACCTTGAAATGTAGCTTGGAGTTTGAGAAAAATAGTCTTAACCTTGATTTTTTTTTTTAAATCTCAATGTTGACTCTTGGAAGGTTTGATTGTAGTGTGTTGACCATTGGTGTTGGAGTTTTGGACTTTGAAGTTTGAAGTGGCTCAAATTTGCTCTTGAAAAAGAAAGATGGAAAAGTGTACACTTTTAAGCAAATGTGGAAAGTGAGTTTTTTTAATTTTCCCACACCTAAACTCCTTGAGAAGTTTGAATCCTATAAATATGAATCACTCCTCTCTTAGAATTAAAAGGTGAAGGAGAATAGGGGAGCTCTCGCGCACACAAGAATTCCAGCTTTCAGTTCAGAATCGAAAATTTGCACCCCCCCTGCGCGGGGCGACCTGCGGACACGATAGTCGTAAAATTCAACGGGTTTCAGAAGACAATTTTGCCCCCCCCCCCCCCCCCGTTTTTTTTTTAGTTTAACCCGGTATTTTAAATTATGGGTAAGTCGCCAAACCGTTGGGCGACTTATAAGTCGCCATCCGGTTGGGCGACTTTCCCCGACCAGGGTTAAGGCCCAGCAGTATATCCGTAAATACTTTTAACCCGACCATATTTTCGTAAATACTTAATTAATTAGCATTAATACGGAAAAAAACACTCCTTTATAAGCTTATAACTCAGTTTCCGAGTTTAGCGGAGAAGCATCACAAATTTGAGTAATTTCTCTCCAATTTGTATAAATCCCATGTATAGTGTGTGTGTAATCCCATACATAGAACGACTGAAAAGAAAATATATATAGCCAATATAGGTGTGTGGCGCTTGCATGATGGGTCCACGATTATCTTTTATTTTTAAGAGAAGGCAAGATTTTGAAGAAGGAAAATTTTCCTTTTTCCATTTCTAAAATTTAAATGTATAAACAAATACGAATTTTATTTTTCTTCTATAACCTATTAACCTAAAGGCTAATAATAAATGCTTTGTGATTAACAAGATGAATACTTTTCTCGCCATACTTGGATTTGTTGATGATTGAAAATCATGGTGATCTAGAAAAGAACAAAATGATTACTAATCTATTTCTCCACATTAATACAAATAATAATATGAAATTCCAATTTTAGCATCCCAGCCCCAATTTTGTACAGTTTAACTTTTCACTTAACTTATACCTTTTCGTTTGAGTAAAGGGTCACTTTGGTCCTCGAAGTTGTATAAAAGGGGCCAAATAAGTCCTTATATAGAAGATTCTGTTTGGACGTGTCATTTGAGGTATTTCCCGGTGAAATATTTTGGTAAAATTTTTTGAGCATCTTATTCATTAAGTCTAGTTTAGTCATACCAAATTTAAGCTAAAGATTCAATCGGGAAGGCATTCAAATGAATTCTTGAAAATAACTGCGCTTTTAACTGCACAGTTATCTTCAAGAATTCATTTGAATGTCTTCCCGATTGAATTTTTATCTGAAATTTGGTATGAGTGAACTAGAATTAATGAATAAGATGCTCAAAAAAATTCATCAAAAAATTCCACCGGGAACCGCCCCAAATGACGACGGCCGGATAGAACCTCCTATATAAGGACTTATTTGACCCCTTTTATGCAACTTCGAGGACCAAACTAACTCTTTACTCCTTTTCGTTTTTTGATGACTTTTGTCTCATCTTTTTCACTCATGGATGGCGAACCCAAGATCGAAATGAGTACCTCTATTGCTGGTAACTGCTGCTCGGATGGATATATGAAGCAAGGTAATAAGCTTGTCCTTGTAGGGAATGAGAGGGGCACCCGGCACCATGATTGAGAGCGGGTAGCAAGAGAGGGCAATGCATGCCTCGGTGATGGTGGTAAGGTATTGGTTGTGCATCAAGCCATCAAGTAGGGGCGTTTATTCTTGCCATCACATACAATTATGGCCTGCTCGGCTTGGTGGAGCAGCCACTCTATGCTCTCTCCCACTGCATTGTATTCGGATCCTCCTTTCACGCCCATTAATCCTCTTCAGAGCAATAGATCCATTTTTGGACCCAAACCCTTCTGATTTCCGTCTGAGTTGACTTTAAAGTTGGGGGGGGGGGGGGGGGGGGGGGTTCATTCGTAGCCATTGTTGATGATAGAAAAAAAGTGAGAAAGGAAATTGTTAAGTAGAAATTGAGGTTGGATGAGAATGTATGGGGAGTGAGAAGTGGGAATATAAATTGGCAAGGGATCACTTTGGAGCAATCGCACTCTCAGGAAGACTGACATCTGATGTGTTCAACCTACTGGCCTCAACACTACGTAACCTAGTATGTCAGAGTGCCACACATGTCGTGTCATATAGTGTTTAAAACTCCATACACCGAGTGTTAGAAAAAGAATAGATGTATGGCGTTTACATTTGTGCAACAAGCAACTCTAACACTTAAATGCCACTCAATACATTGAGTGTTGGAAAGAAAAAACATACTCCGGTATGTACGATGTTTGCACAATAGGTGCATGACGCTTGCACCGTTGGGTTAGCCTATATTTTTGTATTTTTTATGCGAAGGTGAAGCGTTGAAGAGAAAAGTTTATCCCGTTTTCATCTAAAAAATAAGTACTTGTAAACAAATATGACTTTTATTTTTCTTTATAACCTATTAATAAATGTTTGTGATGACAAATTGTTAAGGTGACTCAATGCAATGAAATTTGGATTGATAGGATGAATGTATTGCATCGTATTGACGCATGCAATACTTGAATTTGTTGACAGTGAAAGGTTACAGAATAAAGACTAGCTGAGAATTTTATCATTGCAGAACCTGAAAAATGAAATGTATCAGTATAAGACCCGAATGATGTTCAAGATCATTAAAATGGAGATTGTTATAAAACTTTATAGGAGATATATTCAAAATGGAGAGAAAAATTTAAAACTTAAAACTTTGTGTTTCCATTAGGGTATTAAATTCTAGATCAAAAGTTGTTTTATGTAGTTTTTAATTTAATTAGGTGTTCGGAAATTGTACGCTTATTTTTTGGCCTAATTAACATTTGAATTCCCTTGGGTGTGTTTGAGAATTTGAAGTGAAAGGGAAAAGAAATGATTTGAAGGTTAATCGTAGGAGGGATTCAAAGAAAATTTTCAACTTAAGTAAAATAAATACCAAATTTAGTAATCAAGTAAATGCCAAAAATAGCCCCACTATTCTGTAAACTGTAATCAACTGATAGGGAACTATGGTAAAATTTTCATAAGTTTGCATTTTAGCCATGTCTATTCTGTAAACAGTCCCACATTTTAATCAACTGCAAACACGCATGTCTTTGCAAACTTTAATTCTTATTGCTGTTGGCAATCTATCACTCTCAATTGATAGGGAACTACGGTAAAATTTTCATAAGTTTTAGTGGTAAGAATCACTAGTTGCAAATAATTGCGGGACAAGAATTGCAAATTTCTCTAAATTAAAACATTTTTTCCCTGCAATCAGCCAACGGCTCACACTTGCACAAGAATAATTGCACTATGGTACAAGATATGATTATAGGCAATATATGATGACTTCCTCAATAATCAAATGAAGACGTTGAATAATTGCATGAGAAAGAAGATGTGACAGTTTTCCCCTATAGGCTACAGCTTCAGTCATTGAAGAAAGTCAAGAGTTAATCTCCCGTCATCATACTCCTGGCATTCTGGCAATTGTATAAAAATACCTAATTTCTTCATGAAAGCAAACAAAGCATGCAGTACAAAAGCCGACAATCATCTTGTCTGTTCTTTCCCCCTATTACATTTCATCCACTCTTTGCCTGTAATCAGCAAGGTACTGCAAAATAAAAACAAATAATGACTAAATTTAGAGGACAAAAATCTTGCTTATTTGTGAACTTATGTCCAAAACAATAAGGCCCCATTTGGAAGCATTAATTAGCTTATTGTGCTTATCCACAATTAAGCAGATTGATAAAACTAAGCAGCTTAGAATTGATTTAACCAAATGATTTTCCTTCCGTAGAACACAAGCCAAAATAAGCCAATCTTCTAGTACAGAAAATTGCTTTCATATTTTCTTCAGAACAGTGGCAGATGCAGAATTTTATATTTTGGGGGTAAACTTAAATATGACTTGACACAAACATAAATATGATCATTGAAGTTAGACAAACGCAAACATAAATACAATAAAAGGTCTCAAATCAATATGGAGTACCTTCAAAACGGAACAAAGCTTTGAAACATAAATACAATAAAAGGTCTCGAGTCAATAAAAACAATTCTTCTTCCTATTTTGATGTGCAAGACTAATGAATGTAAAAATCAAAGTATGAAAATAAGCAGACTAAAAATGATACTAGTGAAATCACATCAAACAAAACAATACAAAGATCTACTAAAATTGAAATTATAATAAATTATAAACAAGAACAACTCAATTCTAAACGTACAAGATGATGAATTAGTTGCAAAATAAATTATATTATATTTATGTAACGCAAAATCTAAACAAGATGATAATTTAGAAGAGACTAAGAATTTAGCTAGAAAATCAGCAGTGTTGTCACAGTTGTGATATGTAGCAGAAGAAATAGTGATTCTAAAATGTAATTTGATGGAATCTCAAATTCAATTAAATAATGAAACGGACCAATATCTATTTAAATAATCTTGTTTTAGAGTTTATGTGAATAATGAGTAAACATATATGGAGACGGAAGTGCAGTGATTAGTGAAGTATATAAGTGTGAACGTAGAAATGGCTATCATTTTAATAACCCTATATGGCTATCTATAGAGAGTCATGTTGCGGTGAGAAAGCTTCTTCCCATGAGAAATGAAAATAATGCACATTCCGCAACAACAGAAAAGTTCACTTATTTATAAAAACGCCACCGCATTTTTTCACCCATGAGAATGCATATTTCAGTTCCATATAATCCAATCCAGTAAATTCACAAATCCACAGGTTCAGAATCTCCTCTCTCATAAAATGTTTTCTCACTTGATCCTATATACTTTCTCCATTTTTTAATAGTTGCAACATTAGGTTTTTGCACTATTCACATACCTTATTTTGATCACGATTTTCTACTAATATATATAATCACATTATTATGTATGAAATGTTAATAAATTTCTATTATAATCACATTAATATATATAAGCACATTAACTTTTTATAATGCTAACTAATACTTCCTCTGTTCCCCTAACTTTGTCCCGTTTCACCTTTTTCGTCCGTCCCATTAAGTTTGTCTCATACCATATTTAGTAATATTTGAGTGGTTACAATTCATTATAACTTTATTCACACTTTATCAATTCAATACCAACAACACAATTCTACTTTTTCTTAAAAACCGGACCACATCCTTTTGTCTTAATCTTAAGGGGACGGAGGTAGTACGTAATTAAATATAATTACAGTCAAAGTTACGTGTTGGCAAACATCTCATGACTGATTATAAGATCCGGTGTGCACACTGCTTCAGAGAATCGAATAGAACAGCCCATTTGCTTGCTCGTTTTGGAAGAAGCTGCTCTCATACGAAAGTCTTTAAAACTTTTCCGTCACCTTCTGATGTAAAGGGTGTTGTCCTTACGGATCACATTCCTAATATGCGCAGAAAATTTTTCCTAGTGGGCCAGAGTAGTTCGTTCTCTAGCTTTTGTTTGTTATGTTTTTTTCTACTTTTCTAGTAAAAAAAAAATATATATATATACTAGCTAGGTTTTCTAAAAATTTGGGGGGCACAACCCCTACTTGTCCCCCCTACCGGATCCGCCGCTGCTATAACAAGGATCCCTCCCTCCTGCAGCTTCTCCCCGAGGGAAGAGAGGGAGATGGGGCCATGGGGACTTTTATAAGCAAAATAATACACACAAAAATATAATACACCTCTGTGTGTGCATAAACTCCAGCTTCCAGTGAACCAGGAGGACTTCCTCTCCTCACAAATTTTCCATCTTTATAAGTGTATAGCATCGGCACACCAGTTGATAGTTCCAAGTTAATAACCTGTCATCACGAATCATTCGATTGACTTGCATCAAAATACATACACAAGAATCCTAATAATGCATTCGGGGCTGTAGAGAAAAGAAAGCCCAACCTCCTGAGAAGTCAACTCATCAAGATACATGATAATAGACCTCAATGAATTTGCATGAGCCACAACCATCACATGCTTTTTTGCCATAAGTTGGGGTTCAATCTGTAGAATTTTTTTAATCAGATATATGAAGAAAGAAATACACAAGAAAGTGTATTTGTACTTTACATGAAGGTAACCAAGCTCACATGGTCCTTAAAATAGGTAACGGCCCTTCCCAAACACATTTCTAAGCTCTCCCCATTAGGTGGACGAACATCATAACTTCTACGCCACTTATAAACCTGCTCCTTTCCATATCTTTCAGCTGTTTCATGCTTATTATAACCCTGAAGCTCCCCATACCTGTGAATCAAGCATGCGAGATCAAGTTGGTCAGGAGGGATACATTCATGGAAGAAAGAGGATTGTGTACGATATTTCCTTTTGCCTTGGAATATAGTTCATATTTGGATTTGGCATGCTTGTTAAGAAAATGGTTGAAAAAGAAAGTGTGTACAGATTTGCATATAAATGAGTGACATGATGAGAACCCCATACTTCTTTCCTCAAAAGGAAACAGTACAATCATTTTGGAGTGGACCAAAAAGGAAAACATGAAATTTATTTCGGGAGTAGCAAATTACATTCTTTCATTTAGTTGCCACGCTTTAATGACAGGAACAGAGTGCGCCTTTGTTTCTTCACTATGAACTTGACTCCACATTTTAGCTTCTTCACTTTCATTATGCAAAATTATGGGCACCTATTATTAAAACAAACAAACAACAACAACATTACCCCAGTGCCGCATAGGCTCCCACCAACAATGGAGGTTAGGGGGGTCGGATGACCGCAGCCTTATCCCTGTATTAAAGCACAAAGAGGTTGTTTCCGGATGACCCATGTAAAAATTGCGTTGAAAATTGAATGAACTGATTGATGCTTCATAACCATGATGCGCAGACAGTTTAATGAGTCATTTTACTTTATTCCATCATATCCCAAGCCAAAAAATAGCGAGTCTTTGGCTCCATTGGAAATGATGGAAATTAAAAGTTTCAGAGAAATCGGTTATTATACATACTGTACTATGTTGTTTTGTCGAAGATTTTAAAATGACAAGTTTTCTACAAGAAACGGCTTGGATTAGTTACGCACAAAACACATACATTACCTGTGACTTAGTTCCACCGTCTCCAAGAATAAAAATGAAATAAAAATAAAGATCTTAAATAAGTTGATTTATAACTTTCATCACTAAGAATTACAACTCATATCCATCGCAAGAGTTTTGGGATAGGCTACCCCAGAGGTTGATGCTAAATTGATAAGTCAGTCTACGAGAAGTGACAGAGCACCAAAAAGTCCCTAGGGAGGCCAAAGTCAGCACTCCTGTTGCAATAGCTAAGTATGTGACACAACATTACATAAGCTGGATAACTTAGTTATGTACCTTATTAACAGATTTACATGATTTAGGGGCATATTTCAAGATCAAACAGCCGCACCCTACAGTCCATAAAATCTCACTGTGTATAAGACGAGAGTTTTAGAACAATCATGTCCAATTAGGTAATGTGTGTGTGCGTAGGTTCACTCAAGAAATAATGAAACATACATCCTGATATATTTCACTCCATATATCTACTAAGAACAATTGCATTGCACCACTCCATATATCAAATACAACAGTGAGCACTTTGTGCATGTTCACATACTTAGTATATACATATAATGCACAATGCCTGTGAATTTGGGATTATTATGTAAGAGCACCTTCATGCAGTGGTGTTCAGTAAGAGCAAGCATGGCTGTCATCTGTGAACGAATCAAAGCTGATATGTAGATGACATCCAAAGGGAAATTCTTGATTCTCCTACCTGCTTCAATAGCTTCTTCCACTCCTTTCTTGGTCAAAGGAACATCAACACAACCAGTGAACAAGTTCTTCTCATTCCACATTGATTCCCCGTGTCTGATCAAGATCAATGTAGATTCATCTGCAAAGGTCAATTCCATTAATAATATAGTATAGACCTAATTTAGTCCCTCGACTATATATTATAATCATTTTGTCCTCAACTTTTAATTGGACTCAATTTAGTCTTCACCTTTTTATGGAAACTAATTTGGTTCTCCGTTATAAAATATGGACTAAATGTAGTCCTCATGCATATTTGGTTCAAAATAAGAAGAAATTGTTTGTCCATCACCTAATTTTATTCATTTTTGAGTCCAGAAGAAAGTTAATGATTAAATTGACCAATAATGCAAAGTCAAGCGACCAAACTGGTCATCTACTCTTAATATACAGGTAAAGGTTAAAATAGAAAAGGCTCCCAAGACATAGTAACTAGTACATGTCCATAATCTGGTGTCTGCAAATGAAACAGTTTTCAGGTTTAGATTACTCACTTACAAGTTACAATTCTATGAGAACTATCAAATCCACTCGAGTGGGACGATATAGATGGATGTGGAGATGGTAATGAACAGTGTGATGAGCTCATTGTGCATTTTCTTGTCTTGTTGAAGTTGCATCTTTCTCTTGTTAAAAATGATGATCTCGTGTATAGTATGTGGTTTTGATCATAGGAATCACAGCCGCGGCCAAATCCATGCACCCAATTGAAATTGAGGGAATAACCATAAACAGCAAAAGTAGCAACCATATTGACAAGAAAGCCTATCCAATAAGAAAGTACCTTATTTCATACATAGTACTACGTATAAAAGCGCGACTAGCTGGGATATAAATATATACAACGACAACAACATCCAAGCCTTAGTCCCAATCTGCAACCTTGAACTAGTTACATTTGATCTGATTGATTTTTGATAATTACTAGAACATCTTTGATAACCCCCCTTAGGGTGAACTTATCACTTTTATGAACATTTAACTTTCATATCAAATTACCAAGCATTTGACTTTGTGCACTGAATTAGTAATGTATAAATAAGTAAGATTGATATTATTTTCCTATTTGAATCAGAGGTAGCTACTAGAATATTTTAGCTATTTTTCATAATGTACGGAGTAATTTATCCTTTATTTTATAAATATATTTTGAATATATTTATCCAATAATTTAGCCCTTCAAATAGAATTTTAAGAATTTCAACTTATTCATTCAGTATCAGATTCAGTCATTTTTTTATTACCAAACGAGCTCAGCCGCACATTGGACCTTTTTAGTAGAAATTTAAAAAAGCTGACAATGAGATACAAGTATATACCTGGTAAGCATCTAAGAGCTGCTAAGTCGCAGATCAGTTATCCCATAAGAACAGTAAACGACTTTAAGGAAGTCGTCGTCACCGACCACCGTAGAGGAGAGGGGTCGGCGTTTTTGTTGCCTCCCCAGTTGGGACGGCAATTGTGACAGATCAATATGACAATATCAGCACCCCTCGTCCAATGGTTTTTTTCTTCTCTGTATTTCTTCCTTTTCAATTCACCATCAAAGCTCAAACGATTTTGTCTCAAAACTTTGATAAATCTTGAGGTAATAACATACTTTTTCTTTTTTTGCTTCTACGATTATAACTTTTCCCTTTTTCAGATTTGCGCTGCAATCTACAATCTGTAATCTTCAATCCGTTGATGGTCAATTGCAATCCGTTGAATTTGCCATAATACTTTGCACTTCTCTTTTCTAATTATTCAATTTTTAGGGTCCCTTTACTAACAGAAATATTTTTCTGTTTTCATTTTCTATTTTCAAGCCTCCAGTTTTCTGTTTTCATTTTTCAGTTTTCTGTTTTCCAAATCGGAAAACATGTTTACCATATTTTTTCAATTTTTCATTTCATTTTTACCAGACAACATTGACTTAATATTTCGAAAAAGAAATGCACATTCAAGGGGACATTTCAAATAACAAAAAAATAACATAAATGTTCCCCAACACTGAAAGTTCAATAAGTGACATGTTAATCAGAACAACAGTTGTACTTCGACATCTCAAACATTATAATCATCCCATATTGCATTTGCAATATTTTCTCGAATTTCGTGCATTTGTTGTTGAGACATATCAAATTGGAGTGATCCATTTTCACTTGTACTTGCCTCCGTGTTAACTATCATATCATCTTCCCCGTACTCCAAGAACAAATCATCGTTCCTATCTTGCATGCGAATGAAGTTATGCAATGCACAACAAGCTATGGGAATTTGAACTTGTCTTCTCAATGGGTAACCACGTGATATGTCTAGAATGGGAAATCTTTCCTTTAGTACTCCGAAACACCTTTCAATCACATTACGCACGGATGAGTGTCGGTAGTTAAATAAAGCTTGCTTATTGCGTATTCGTCCTCGACCTCGAAAATCCTTTAAGTGATAACTCTCTCCACGGTATGGGGCTAAAAAACCCGGAACATTTGGATAGCCAGCATCAACCACATAGTAATAACCTATAATGAAGTAAAAAACATTTACAATGGGAACCCATTTTTGTTAATTAGTGACTTTATTAACACAAATTGCATAATTATTGTATTACCGATAGGAGGCATGGGCAGCCCATTTTCGCTTCTTGTAATTGCATCTAAAAATACTCGAGAGTCATTGCCTGTTCCCTCCCAACCCGCGTACACATACGTAAACAACATGTCATGATTACAAGCTGCCATGACATTTTGCGTGACCGTTGCATGTCTACCGCGAAACGTCTTTTGTTTGGAAGCGGGTGCTGAGGCTGCTACATGAGTACCATCAATGGCACCTATACATTTCTACAAAAATTGTACACCATTAATAGTATGAGTAAACCTAAGTATTGAAAAAGGTAATTATGCTTACACATACCTCAAAATAAGGATACCATTTGGGCTTTTCTAAAATTTCCGGTTGAACAGGGCCCCTATTAACCGGCTTTATAACTTCTTTGCCCAGTCGTGCAAGTGCTCTCACCACACGCTTCACACATAAGTTTCCGGTTGAACTTGACCCCATTCTATTCTAATCAGTGACTCATTGAGCTGGGACTTGATTATTACATTTAAACAACTTATAGATTCTCAAATGTCAATTTCCACGAGTTTACTACCTCTACGGCTCTACCTTTATAGTAATTGCTCAATCACTTTAAACGTATTCATGATTCAAGAAGCTGATTCGAATCAAACAAAATTCCTACTTTGTGGCATGATATTAACTACCTACTTAATATCCATTACACGTATTCATGATTCAAGATGCTGATATTAACAAAACGTATTCATGATACACTTATCCTTTCAAACGCCACTTACTTCTTACTCCCAAAGGTCTATTCACTTCCCTAATTTAAGCACCACTTACTTTTTACTTTCACCAAAATGAATTTAAGATGATTGAAATGTTATGTCCACATAATAGGGCAAGATATGAACTAAAGCCCTCCAAGGTCTTCTTTACCAAAACCCCTCCAAAAACCCCGAATCATACCGAGTTTGTAAAATTGAAATGTATATATCCTACATTATGGGGGTGGAGGGAGTGCATGTTTATACGTGGTACAATGCCAATTTACACTCATTATAACTAAAAATTCAAATCAAGGTGCTATAAACTGGATAAGGCAACACATTTTACTATTGATTTACACTCGGGTATTCAATGTGGAAAGACCAAACAAGAGGAGGGGGATGCTGACTAGTGTACTGTAAAGTGTAAACCATTAAGAGTGATACCCTAATCAACCACAGACTAGTGTACTGTAAAGTGTAAACCATTAAGAGTCCTATAGATACCCTAATCTCTTCACATGGTGTAAACTAGTCAACTACAGTAAGCTTCCAATTTCATTGGATATTTAATGACTAAATGGGTATATAAGAGTGATATATCTTTGCCAGACATGAACAAGACCTAACCATGAATTTAAGGCTTAAGAAGCCGCATTGGTTTTCAGATTCCAATCTGATTTCAATTTTGAAAAAAAAAAGGTGAAAAATTTTGCATAGCAAATAATAGAAGTCGAATTCAGTTAATAGCAGATAATAGAAGCTTGTGTCATGGATATCGTATGTTAATGGAAGCCGAATTCAGTTCAATTTTTACTTCAATTTTGAGTTTCACAGCTTACCTTCAAATCGTTGGCAGAACAGGAGCCGACGGAAGAACTGGGAGATGCCGTGATGTCGGGGCTCAGCTCCTATCGGGGATGCCTGATTTGTGAACCTGGAGTGCGGTAGCCATGTGTGGAAGAGGTTGGGAAGCTCTGCTCTCTCGATTCTGAAGTTGTGGCGTGTTGGACAAGACGTGCGGTGTTGAGCGTAGCACAGGTCCGACTTTTAAGCTGGAGAGGAGGAGGAAGGTGAGAAGTTAAAGCCGAGTAATGAAGTTAGGTGGAAGTAGATAAGCCGAAATGAAAGCTCGTAAAGGTGGTAGGAGGAGGAAGGCGTGCGAGTAAATGAACATTACTGTAGCAGCGAGTTTTCTAAAACTAGAAAACTAGTAAAACGTGTTTTCCATTTAACGCGTAAAAAATGAGATGTGTTTCGATTTTTTGATTTTGGAAAACACTTTGGTAAACATGTTTTCTGACTTTTCTATCTCCAGTTTTCCAAAATTTTCAAAAAACAGAAAATATTTCTGTTAGTAAACAGGCCCTTACTCTCCCTTTTTGTTAATTAGTTCAAGATTCTAATTTTCTTGAACACTAAATTTTAATTTGATGCTTTCATCTAAAGAGTTTAATTACTCCTTAATTTGGTTCTAATTCAATTACTCCTTTTTCCTCTATTTCACTTTTTGTTACTCTGTAAAAGACTGGCTTTTAATTTGATGCTTTCATGAAAGAGCCCATTCTTCTAAATTGAGATCATGTGTGAAGAATTCAATTTCTAGTTTCCATGTAACTTCCTCCATGTGCAAGAATGACAAGGGAAGTTTCTTCACACCAAAGAACCACCTTCCTCACAACTCCATTGAAGCTTCCTCCTAGTTTCAACACATCTTCCTTCCACCTTCCTAGTACCTAGTTTTGGTGCTATAAATAGAGATCTTGGAGAGTCTTTCTATCATCAAGTAAATTAGAATAGATCATCATAGCACAACCAAGAGTGTTGTGAATATCCTTGAGAGATATGTGAGATATTGTTTTGAGAGTTTTTAGTTAGAGCTTGTATGCCTCTTCTTTCTATTCTTGAAAGTAATAGAAGTGTTTTTATCTCATATTAGCACGATCCGGTTATCCCCAACAAGTGGTATCAGAGCCTGGTTGAGCTTTTGATATTTTTCCCAAATGTTTTCAGACAAAATTCTACTGTCTGAAAAATCAAGTTTTTCAGTATTGCTCGGAATTGCAATCTAAATATACCGTTGGATTCGACTCGTCGAGACGAGAAAACTGGTATTTTTGGGGAATTTTTTGGCCACTGGAAGCTGCCGTACGTGCCGCAGAACGTCGGCGAAAAACTACCTGCGCCATCACGCGCAGTCCAGAGGTAGAAGACAGCTGACGTCATCAGCCAGCCAGAGCTGTGTCAGTTCCACGTCAGCGCCACGAGTGCAGTCCCAGTATAGTCAGCTACCACGTCACCAGTCCACTGCCATCTTCCACCAGCGCACAGTCAGCGCCACATCACTACCATGTCATCTGCCATGTCACCGCTCAGTTTATAATTTTGAAAATTTGCAGTTTGGTCCCTCAATTTTTGGAAAATTATAATTTCCGTCTATAATTTTTCGAAAATTGTATTTTGACCCCGAAAGTGCCTACCCACCATTTTCGACCGTTCCGGACGCAACGGTGCTGCCCGTTTTTCGAAATTATGCTCCAATTTTTCTGAAACAGAAAATCAAAATTATTTAGAAGGTGAAAATGACCTTTGACGAGTCAACTTCATCTTCTGGAGCTATGATTATGCTCACGGGTACCAACTACACGCTATGGAAACCTCGGATGGAAGATTTCCTTAGCTGTAAAGACCTTTTTGATCCAATAGAGATGAAGAAAATTAATAGAAAAACTATTGGTCAAGTCCGACAATGGATTGACCATAGTGTCTTCCACCATGTTGCACAAGAGACCGACGCTTATGCCCTTTGGAAGAAGTTAGAAGATATGTACCAGGCCAAGACCGCTACGAACAAGGCCCTACTGATGAGGCGCCTTGTCAATATGAAGCTCAAAAGTGGAACTTCTGTTGCCGAACATATTAGTCAATTTCAGAGTCTGGTAAATCAACTATCTTGTGTAGAAATGCCACTTGGAGATGAAATGCAATCTCTACTGCTTCTTAGTTCCCTTCCTGATACTTGGGAGACACTAGTTGTTACTCTCAACAACTCAGCCCCAAATGGTAAACTTATCATCTCTGTGGTCAAGGATGCATTGTTCAATGAGGAGGCAAGAAGGAATGACATGAGCACAGATGAGACTCATGCCCTTGTGACGGAGAATAGAGGAAGATCACAAGGAAAACAACAAAGAAACAGTAGAGGGAAATGGAAAAGCAGAGGAAAAAATCGGGGGAGATCATCAGATGGCCAGAAACCTGCTTATACTTGCCACCATTGCGGTATAGAGGGTCACATGAAGAAGAATTGCTACAAATTGCTAGAGGAGCGAGGCAAGAGCAATTCTCAAGCGAAGAACAAGGGTGGTGAAGCGCTCATCACAATCTCAGGTGATGTGGCGTATTGTACTATCAATGATGAAACATGCCTTCACGTCTCAAG